TCCATGCCATTTGAACCTGTGTTGTTCAAGGGTCAACTGTATATGTCTTTTGACACATAAATGTATGCCTTTCTGTTTGGTATTTGTAAGAAGATGATTGGGACTTTGAGGGTTTGTGGAATCCACAGGTCAACTTAAGAAGATATAACATAGTATTGAATATTCCAGTTTAAGAATATGATATATACCTCCATTTATTCAAGTCATACTTTAATTAATGTTTTATCATTTTCTGTGTAGATATGTACATAATTTTTGGTAGATTTATTTCTAAGGATTTTATTTCAATACCATTACACATGATACCATCTTTTCAAAATTTTATCTTATTGATTGGTTTAGAATAATAAATAAAATTGATTTTGGAAATTGGCCCTTTAACCAGCAATCTTGGTAAATATATGCATCAATTCTAATACAGAATAGATTATTTTGCATTTTCTAAATATATAGTCATACTGTCTACAAATAAAGACAGTGTTGTCTTTCTTGAAAATCTTTAGATATTTAATTTCTCTTCACTTAGTGCACTAAGAAGGACTTCTAGCAAAATACTCCTTAAAAAGTAGAAATAGCAGACATCCTTGTCTCTTTCATTTACAACCTCAAGGAGAAAGCCTTTAATAGTTCACCAAAAAGCATAAAGTTTACTGGAGATGTTTTTAACACTGTTATCAGAATAACAATGTTCCTTTCTAGTCCTGGTTTGCAGAGGTTTTTGATCATAAATTGCCATTAAATGCCATCAACTGCTTCTTTTTTTGGTACCCATTAAGATATTATGATTTTTCTCCTTTAATTTTAAAATGAGGTCTATTATGTTAAATTTTTTTTTTTTTTTGAGACAGAGTCTCGCTTTGTTGCCCAGGCTAGAGTGAGTGCCATGGCGTCAGCCTAGCTCACAGCAACCTCAAACTCCTGGGCTCAAGCGATCCTTCTGTCTCAGCCTCCCAAGTAGCTGGGACTACAGGCATGCGCCACCATGCCCGGCTAATTTTTTTTTTTATATATATTAGTTGGCCAATTAGTTTCTTTCTATTTATAGTAGAGACAGGGTCTCGCTCTTGCTCAGGCTGGTTTGGAACTCCTGACCTTGAGCAATCCGCCCGCCTCGGCCTCCCAGAGAGCTAGGATTACAGGCGTGAGCCACCGCGCCCGGCTTATTATGTTAATTTTTGACTGTTAGATCAAACTTGTACTCCTAGAATAAACCCATATTGGGAAATATTTGGTCATTATTTCTTCACATAACTGCTTTTGCTCCATTCTCTCACCTTTCCTTCTTGATTCAAATTACATGTATGATATTATCCCACAGTTCCATGAGGTTTTCTTTATTTTCTTTAATCTATTTTCCATCTGTTCTTCAAATTAGTCACTTTCTGTTGCTCTATCTTCAGATTAACTAATTCTAACTCTTTCTCTCTTTCAACTGCCATCTCTTATCTGTTAAATTCATCCACCAAATTGTACATTTCAGTTATTGTACTTGTAGAGGCAGAATAGCCCCTCCCCCAACAGATGTCCATGCCTTCATCCCTGAAATTGGTGAATATGCTACATTATAACATGACAAAGAAACTTTGCAGATATAATTAAGGTTATGTACCTGGATTATCTAGGTGGGTACAATCTAATCACATGAGCACTTAGAGATGTAGTGAAAGAGGAGGCAGAAAAAATCTGGCAGCAGGGCAAGCCAGAGAGATTCAAAATGCAAACTCAACATACCATTCCTGGCTCTGAAATGCATGGGTCAACATGCAAGGGACGGAAGAGAGGCCTTTAGCTGCTCATTGAAAGTATGAGAAGGAATGCAGGCAGCCTTTAGAGGCACAGGCAAACTCCTGCCTAAAAGCCAGCAGAGGCCTAAAACCTATAACAAAAAAAAAAAAAAAAAAAAAAAATGAGTTTGGCCAAGAATTTAAATGAGATTGGAAGTGGATTCTTTCTAAAAACCTCAGTAAGCAACAGTACCACTATTGGCCACTTTCACTTTAGCCCCATGAGACCTGTGTTGGACTTCTAACCTACGTATCTATGAGATAATAAATGGATGTTATTATGAGCCATTACATTTGTGGTAATTTGTTATGGCAGCAATAAAAACTAATATAGATTTTGGTACTTTAAGTGAAGTGCCACTGTAACAAATACCTAAAATTGTAGAATTGCCTTTGGAATCAGGCACTGAGTGGAAGCTGGAAGAATACTGAGGAGCATGATGAACAAAGCCCAAATTGCTTTGAACAGAATATTACTAGAAATCTGGTCTTTCAGGACACTGTTGGCCAGGGTTCACAAATTACCTGTAGAAATCTTGACTTGGAGGACACTGCAGTAAGGCCTCAGAAGTGAGAAACATGTTATTGTAAACTGGAGAAAGGTGGATCCTTGTTATGTATTGGCAGAGAGCTTAGTGAAGTTGTGTCCTGAAGTTATTTCTAAAGTAGAACTTGTAAACGATGAAGTTGGATATTTATTTGAGGACATTGCCAAAGATGAAGGTGTGACCTGGTTTCATCCTGCTGCTTACAAGTTAAACGTGAGATGACAAATTACACCTATGTAGAGCAGCTTTGGCCTGTGGATGAATTCTAGCCTGCCTGTGATCTTTCTTTCTTAAAAGACTGCCCTATGGATGCTGGACTTGCTTAGCTAGCCCCCAAACTACATACACCAATTCCTTATAATATATCTCTACATACTTACGTCCTCTGGGTTCTGCTTCTCTGGTTGAATCCTGAATGATACAGTACTTTAAAGCTCTAGAATTTCTATTTAGTTCTTTTTTTATAGTTACCATTTCTCCTGTTCATTCATAGCTGTTTTCCATTAAAGTCTTGGATAGATTTACAATATATGCTTTAAGACTGTCTGCTAATTCCAATGCCTGGATCACATCAGGGTCAAAGTTTCTATGGATTGCTTTTTCTCTTTTACTACTGGTCACACTTTCTAAATTCTTTGTACTTCTAGTGATTTTTTACTATATACTAAACATTGTGAACTATATATTTAAAAGACTCTAGAATTTTGGGTGTTTGTTTCTTCAGCAGGCAGCTTGGCTGGGATCAATCTGCAAACTTTGTCTCCTCCACAGTGACTTACAGTAAAAGGTGAATTCTCCATTCAGTTCCTTCAGCTTACAACTACTGATTTTTGGCAGTTTCCTAGAGTCTTCTCCTGTGTATGTATAGTTCAGTGGTAAGTCAATGATTTTTGCAGAGTTTAAAATTGATTTTAAGACTTACCTCTTTTGTAGCTGCCTCCTTTCTAAGATTTTCACCCTAAGTTTTTTGTGTTCTGATTCCTCTGTCCAGTAAATATTGTGGCTTTTTGCCACACCAGGAATTGTGAAATGCCCATAGGAGAATAGCCAGAAATACTCAAATTTCACCTAGTACCGCTTTTGTCTTTCAGGCATCATCTTCCCTCCAGTTTTTGCCTGCTTTTCACCACTCACTAGTACTTTCAAATAGTTGTGGGTTTTCTTTGGGGATGCTTATTTTTGTATTAATGATATAATCATTATTTGCATACTACACTACCATTACTGGAAGCAGGAAGCATAATTGAATATTTTTAAATATTCCATTTTATCCCCTCTATTGACATTTAAGATCTATATCTCCTTGGTTTTTTTTTTTTTTGAGTGGTTATAATATTCATCCTAAAGAACTTACAATATTCAACCTTATCACAGTATACCATCAAATAATATATTACTTCATAAGTAATATTTAAAAAACCTTATAAATGTATAATTCTATTTTTCTCCCTCATGCCCTTTATCTACTATTGTCATATATTTTATGCCTACATATAGTATAAGCACTATAATCTATTCTTATTTTTAGTGGGAATTTTAAAATACTTTAAAATACTGCTAAGGCATACTTAGTTAGATCATATATCCCTCAGACTCTCCAAATGATCTTGGGCAAATCATTAAATGCAAAACTTCAGGCCAGGCGCGGTGGCTCACGCCTGTAATCCTAGCACTCTGGGAGGCCAAGGTGGGCGGATTGCTCAAGGTCAGGAGTTTGAAACCAGCCTGAGCAAGAGCGAGACCCCATCTCTACTATAAATAGAAAGAAATTAATTGGCCAACTAATATATATAGAAAAAATGAGCCAGGCATGGTGGCACACGCCTGTAGTCTCACCTACTCGGGAGGCTGAGGCAGAAGGATCGCTTGAGCCCAGGAGTTTGAGGTTGCTGTGAGCTAGGCTGATGCCACGGCACTCACTCTAGCCTGGGCAACAAAGCGAGACTCTGTCTCAAAAAAAAATAAATAAATAAAATGCAGAACTTCAGTCTCTTTTATAAAAATTAAAGGGATACAAAAAATGCTTCTTTTTTTTTTTTTTTTTTTTGAGACAGAGTCTCACTCTGTGGTCTCAGCTAGAGTGCCATGGTGTCAGTCTAGCTCACAGCAACCTCCAACTCCTGGGCTCAAGCGATCCTCCAGCCTCAGCCTTCCGAGTAGCTGGGACTACAGGCATGCGCCACCATGCGTGGCTAATTTTTTCTATATATATATTAGTTGGCCAATTAATTTGTTTCTATTTATAGTAGAGACGGGGTTTCGCTCTTGCTCAGGTTGGTTTCGAACTCCTGAGCTCAAAGGATCCACCCACCTCAGCCTCCCAGAGAGCTAGGATTACAGGCGTGAGCCACCATCCCCGGCTCAAATAATGATTCTTAATGTCCCTTCCAGCTTTTATATTATCTATATATCCTATGACCTATGAATACTTTTTGTTCAGTATCAGTTTTTTAATGTGTAATTAACAATCATAATATAAGTACATATATAAGAGCATACATTAAGGTAAAAAAAAAGTGTTACTTAGAATCTATGATTTTTTTAAATTTTTAAAACATCAGACTCATCTTTAAAGTCAGTGCTGCCCAGAAAATATTTATAAAGGAAATAAACAGAGTTATATTAACTTGCAATGGAGAATAACTCAAGTTTAGGTGAAACCACTTACCCATCTTCAGTTTCTTTTAGTAAGCGACTAGCAATTCGGATTAGCATGCAGTAAGCAAACTGTGATTTGAGACCAGATTTACTAAACTTATTCAACATCTTGGAAACAGCAAGACGATCATTCTTTCTAAGGTGATACAGGACCCCCAATGCATGATACTAAAGAACAAGAAAAAGAATGGATCACACAGATTAGAAAGAAGACAGAACATACAAAAATAGAATCACATAGAACTAAATTGAATATTTTAAATCAAAAGATACCCAAGTCAAATGCACACCAATAGAATACCTTTTTCAAATTGAATTAAATACATTAAAGACTGAAAGGATAGGCGTTTCTAATATACCCCCAGAAGTTGCGAATTCAGACTGGACAAATATAAAGAAGGTAACATACAATCTGACGACAGCACTAACAGATTCAACACTGACTCACACATCCTCAGTACAGAGGCTCTCAGTTCCAAGTCTTTACCAGTGTTATACATCTCCCTTAGTGGCTTTAAATCATCTGTGGCCACCTCAGTAAAGGATTAATCTCCTAAACTAGGCTAGAGGAATGCCTTTATCATAACACTTCGTATAAAAATACATTGATCAGAATTAGGAGAGTAAGAGTGTTTCCTAAGGGAAAAAATTACTACTCGGTTGACTCATAACTGAATGTGCTAACATGAGAGTTGTAAACAATGAAAGGGCATAAATAAATACCCTCTCAAATACAATGGGGTACTTTATATAAAATTGCCAGTTAAGAATTTAATCCTGTTCCTCTTTATGAAGAATAACCTAAAATAAATACCAAAAGGAAAATCTTTTTTGACAAAATGGTTTCAAAGTTTCACAAATAAAAAACATTCCTTATTATTTTTATAGCATCTATAATCGAGGCTTATGAAACTTGGAATTGAACACCTTTTTGCATAAATTATTTTTCAAATAAAAGACTGCAATACACTGTGAAGGACCTTTAGAATGAGCATCTCAATCAACTACCGAACACAAGAATGTTTTCTGAATATTCTTCAGGAGGTCATTTAGCTTCTACTGAACACTTGAAGGGCCTATCGCAATAATTGTGATTAGCTAGATTTCTACTTGAGCATGTGCACTAGTAGGCTGCTTAATATGCCAAAGAATTTGCCCTTAGTTAGTGCTTATATGGGGAATCAATATACTGCCCCTAAAATACCGCTAAAGACAGCTGATCCCAAGACATAAGCTAATGTGTTTCAATGATAGTACCTGAACCATAACATTATCACTTGATGCAGCTTCTTGGGCTTCATTAATCCAGCGCTTAACCACATCATAGCTTATCTTCATCATGTGCTAAATACAGAAAAAAAAAATGAGAATAGATGATGCATGGTCACTGGAAGTTCACAAACATGAGTTAGTTTTCTGGAAAAGCAGTGACAGGCATTTCCCCAAAGAAAGAAAACTTTGTAGCTTGGCAGTTTATTTACATCTCTCCTCCTGGGGCAACTGATAAACCAGAAGCATTTTCTGTAATACCTCTTCGCAAAGATGAGCTCAGAGAGGTACATAAAAGGAAGTAATGAAAGGGGAAGAAGAAGGAGGGAATGGATATTCAATAGAATGGTGCTCAAATGTTAACATTATTAAGTTTACTCCTAGGAAACTCCCCTAGAAGAAAGAAGCAGAATACTAGTATAACCCTTGCTGTAAAAAATTATATTCAAGACTCAGAAACTCTTGTGATTCAGATTCCTTAATGCCTGCACACACTAGTAACTGATTTCAATCAAATGCAATGACTAAAGGTTTTAATGAATAAATTTGGTTTTGATGAAAAACAAAGAAAAGCTATTACTAAAACAAAAACCATTGCTGGGACAAAATTCAGAAGTGGGAGAGGAGACTCTGGATTAAAGGACACATACATACACAGGGCACCAAGGAAAACAAAGGACAAAGAGATAAGAGGTAGAAGTGCAAGTAATAAAGGAAGATTTTAAATTAAAGAGAACAATCCTCAGTGTTTTCCTTGTCCTTACCTTAACCTTACCCCCATCTGTATTATGTGTATAATATAACTTTTGGATTCCCCAAACCTTTAAACATATGAAAATTTTATGTTTTTAACTGTGCATTTTAATTGCTCAATGATCCTCTAGGTAAAACATATTTGGATAAAGTAATAGAGATGTATACATATTTTAAACTGTTTCATTTGCAAGAGAATCATAGTGATACTTTGTTTTTGCAACTAGAAACTGTACCATGCATAAGAACTAGATAGGTGCTTGCTCACTTACTAAGGAAGATACCAGTGCTGAACTGGATACACTGGCGACTTTATCCACAATGGCTTGCTTCATGTATCTTTCAATGGCTTGAAACATTGTTCCCTAATAACATTCAAAAAAAAAAGCTGTTGAAGCAAAATATTTTCTTGCAAAATTACTACTCCAAAATAATTCACAAAAACCAGTCATATATTTGTTTCTATGCAAACATTCAGAATGCACTAAAAGGATTACCATATAATACAGTAATAATATCCCACAGGGCAGAACTGAAACAACTGAGTGGAAGCTTTAAGAAAGAACATTTAAGATTGTATGTTAGTATGACTGTTCAACAATGAAATAAATGTCTCAAGTGGAGAATCCCAGTTTGAAAAAAATATACAAAAAGAGGTTGAAACTATCAGGGATGTTATAATAAAACGAGATTTCTATATGAGACAGGGGCTGCTTTTAAAGTCCTAAAGATATACCTCTATGTGAAGGGCATATATTATACATGGATCCTGAAGCATCCTATAAATCAAATGTAATCACTGATTATTCTTTGGTATGTGTAATATACTACTATAGTGAGCCCTTGACATGAAGTCCTCTGGAAGTAAAGTTCATTTAAATTTTAACTGGGAAAAAGCTTAGCACTGGCAAGGTTGTGGCAGATAAATATGCGTAAACAGACTGAGATCAATATTCAGATGAAAAGAGAGTTTTACTGCTAGCACTGGATGGCTAAGTCTTATGCTACCAATTTAATACTTAAAACAAAAACAACCACAACAAAACAGCAAGGCAGCAAAAAATATTAAACCATTTCTATTACTCCATCTAGAACCTAGATTTACCAGATTTACAATTTGATCCTGCTCAACCTTTAAAACTTGAGAAGATCGTAAATATACACATAAAATATATCCAAGCATGAATATATATTAATTACTATTATTATTATTATTATTTTAGAGACAGGGTCTTGCTATGTTGCTCAGGCTGTACTTAAACTGCTAGCCTCCCAACCAGTTGGGACTACAGGCACATGCCACCCTGCCTGGCCTGTTATTCAATTTGCTTAGCAATACCTGGACTGCCCTTCATTTTAACCTTTCCTACTCAAAGTTCCCAGAAAGAGACAGCCTAAACTAGTGTTTAGGCTGTCTCCAGATATAATGGACTGGATCACAGTTAAACACCTGACTCAGACCCAGGTAGATATAAGCTACTGAGTTACTGGTGGCTAATCAGATTTTTCTCTCTTAGATATTTGAAAGGTGGGGCCTGAATCTGGTAAATAATGGATCATCACAGTATGTATTTTAGAAATCTTGCTGCTGAGCTCCTTAGATTTGCTCTATTTCTTGCTCTGATGTCTGGTTGTAAGCTTTACCTCAAATTCTGAGAGATCTGTTTCCTATAATAAAGTTATTATTATTATTATTATTTTAAGATAAATTTGAATGAGTTTTTGTTTCCTGCAAGTAATGTGCCCTGAATATAACAACAGTTCATGAGGACAAATATACAGACAAAATGGACTAATATAAATAAATGAAAGGAAAAAATCTGAAGGAAAAAAAAGCCTGGAGCCACAAAAGCCTTTCTGATGGTCATGTTTCTCTTATGCTGAAGATTCGTGAAATCAGATTAGGGAATCCTACTAAATCTACACAGTCACCTGCATATAAACATAGTGTTCCCTTTGATAACTCAGTAACACAAAGAACTTACATCAGTTATTCTGCAGAGAGCCCTGATGGCCGGGCCTCGGTACACATCTTCCTTTCCAGTCATGTCCTTTGTCAGACTAAGAAAAGTCAAATTAGTTAACATGAGAGCAATTAAAACCTTCTTTCCTGTGAAGTTCACCCCAAGCTAATTGCCAACTATCCTCATAATTATCTTAATGCAGCTACTAATTCAACAAATACTAACATCATATTCTTCGTACACATGCTAAAACTACTGGGGAGAAGACTGACCCAAATCTTAAGAATACAGTGAGTGATGAGCAAAACAAAGTCCTTTGCCTTCATGGAACTTACATCTTAGTAGGAAGAGAGAGAATAATCATTTTGAAAACCCCACAATTTTAGATACTGATAATTGTCATTAAAAAATAAAACAAGGCCTTAATGGCATCTGGGAACTTGAAAAAATAAATAAATAAATAAAAAATAAAACAGGGACCATGGTATAGAGAGCCCTAGGCTGACAACTCCTCAAATCCTAAAAACCCCATCAGACTAGACATAACTTTTAAAAGAAATTAACAAAAATAATTAACTCATGAGGTATCTCTCTTTCAGGCATAGCTTTCCAAAATGACAATCATCAATGGCTTCACACCTTTCTGCTGAGCTTCAAAAACAATTGGAAGAGTGTGGGCTGAGCTACAAAATTTAACACCTTAAAGAAGTTTTTAGCCTTTTAGTCTCCCTTCTCTTGCTCTCCATGCATTTATATTACCCCCAAACTGACTATCAATCTCTCCCCTTCCTTATCTCCTCTCATATAATCCAAAATGGTCTGAAACTCTGACTCACTCCCTTAGGAAACCAAGAGGAAAAAGTTGTGAATAAATGATAGCCATTCAATTTCTTTCTTTTTCCAACTGTAAAAGTAATTCATTCATTCAAATGTAACAATACATTTCAAAATATTCACTAATAAATTCAGACATACATCATTAATGAGTGCTAAAATTACTGTGTAAAAGAATGTTGAGGAAATAGATATTCCCCAACAGTCTCCCAGTAAAATATTCAGTTAATTTTAGTGAAAATAATATGGCAGGAATCCATATTGTTGTTTTTTTCTCCAGATGGTGGCCATTATCCTAACTTAATGGTTCTTTTTAAATTTTTGCATTGATTTAAAAATGTCACCTTTTTATATACTCAGATTTTATACTGAATGGAAATGTCATCTTTTATATACTAAATTCACATATAAGTACTTTATAAATATGCAAAGTGAGGATGTAACTGTCATGAATTAATATTTATTAATATAGCATCAAAGTACATAAGGCAAAAATCACAAAAAAAATGCAAACAGAAACAAAATAGTATCAGCCTATGTTATAAAAAGAAGGAAAAAACTGAGTATAAAGGATATGAATAATATACTTTATAAAAAGAAGGAAAAAAACCTGAGTATAAAGGATATGAATAATATACTTTATAAAGATTAATTCTTTAGAAAACTACGTCTTTATAATAGAAAAGTCACCTTTACAAGCATTCATGCAACACTTACAAAGTATTCAACATTCAGCTCCTGAAAATCCCTTAATTCCAGAAAGTGGATATATAATAGTAGAGACTATATTCTTTCATTACAATACAATCAAACTGTATTTGATATATCTAGGTATTATTTGTTCTTTAACTGGGATGAGATGATATCTCATTGTAGTTCCATCTCTCTGATGACTAATGATGTTGAGCATTTTTTCACATACCTGTTGGCCACTTGTATATCTTCTTTTGAGAAATGTCTGTTCAGATCCTTTGCCCATATTTTAATTGGATTATTTGATTTTTTTTCCTGTTGAGTTGTTAGAGCTTCTTATATATTCTTATTATTAATACCTTGTCAGATGGGTAGTTTACAAATACTTTCTCCCATTCTGTGGGTTGTCTCTTCACTTGATTGTTTCCTTTGTTGTATAGAAGCTTTTCAGCTTGACACCATTCTATTTGTCCAATTTGCCTTGGTTGCCTGTGCTCTGGGGGTATTACTCAAGAAGTCCTTGCCTAGACCAATGTCTTAAAGCATTTTCCCAATGCATATGGATGTCCAGCTTCCCCAGCACCATTTATTGAAGAGACTGTTCTTTCCTCAGTGTATGTTCTTGGTATCTTTGCCAAAGATAAGTTCACTATAAATGTGTGGATTTATTTCTGGGTTTTCTATTCTGTTCCATTGCTCTATATGTCTGTTTTTATACCAGTACCATGCTGTTTTAGTTACTAGAGCTCTGTAGTATAATCTGAAGTCAAGTAATGTGACTCCTCCAGTTTTGTTCCGTTTGTTCAGGATGGCTTTGGCTATTCTGGGTCTTTTGTGGTTTCATACAAATTTTGGGATTATTTTTCTATTTCTGTGAAGAATGCCATTGGATTTTTTTTTTTTTTTTTTTTGAGACAGTCTCACTCTGTTGTCTGGGCTAGAGTGCCATGGTATCAGCCTAGCTCACAGCAACCTCAAACTCCTAGGCTCAAGCAATCCTTCTGCTTCAGCCTCCCAAGTAGCTGGGACTACAGGCATGCATCACCATGCCCAGCTAATTTTTTCTATATATTTTTAGTTGGCCAATTAATTTCTTTCTATTTTTTTAGTAGAGATGGAGTCTCACTCTTGCTCACGCTGGTTTCAAACTCCTGACCTTGAGTGATCCGCCCGCCTCGGCCTCCCAGAGTATTAGGATTACAGGTGTGAGCCACCGCGCCCAGCTGCCAATGATAGTTTGATAGGGATTGTGTCAAATCTGTAGATTGCTTTGAAGCATGGACATTTTAACAATATTGACTCTTCCAATACATGGGTATGGAATATCTTTCCATTTTTTTGTGTCCTGTTCTATTTCTTTCATCAATGTCTTATAGTTTTAATTACAGAGATTTTGAACTTCCTTGGTTAAGTTTACTCGTAGGTATTTCATTTTATTTGTAGCTCTCATAAATGGGATTATTTTCTTGATTTCTTTTTCAGATTGTTTACTGTTGGCATATAGAAATGCTATTGATTTTTGTATGTTGATTATGTATCCTGCAACTTTACTGAATTTATCAGTTTTAATAGTTTTTTCATGAAGTCTTTAGGTTTCCCTAGATATAAGATCTTATCTTCTGCAAACAAGGAAAATTTCAAACTTTATTTTTATTATTATTATATATTTTTTGAGATAGAGTCTTGTTCTGTCACCCGCTAGAGTGCAGCAGCAGCATCAGAGTTCACTGCAAGCTCAAACAGCTGGGCTCAAGAGATCCTCTTGCCTCAGCCTCCCGGTGACTTGAGATTACAGGCACATGGCACCACGGCCAGCTAATTTTTGTATTTTTCTGTAGAGACGGGATCTCACTCTTGCTCAGGCTGGTCTTGAACTCCTGATCTCAAGTGATCCTTCTGCCTCAGCCTCCAATAGTGCTAGCATCACAGGCATGAGCCACCGCATCAGGCCTGTCTTTCTTTTAAATAGGCAATGTTTTGTGTTAATTTTGTCAATTTGTTTTGTGTTATGTCTCTATTCCTTTGTTTCTTACATGGCAGTGTTGCCCAATAAAGTTTTCTGCAATGATGGAAATGTTGTACATCATTCAATACAGTAGCCACAAGCTTCATGTGGCAATTGAGCACCTCAATTGTAGCTAGCATTACTAATGAACTGATTTTTATTAATAATTCTACTTAATCTTAATTAATGTTCATTATAATTTAAGTAGCCATATATATCTAATAGCTACTTTATTGGACAATACAGCTACAGGAGTTGTGTTTTGTTTTGTTAAGTGTAAGTATTTCTTTCTGAAATATGGAAGATTTAGTTCTTTTTGTGGCTGCCATAAAACTTTAGATAAAATAGTTGAGCTATGTATGCTAAGAAAATTTATGCATTTTTTCTACTCTTTCATCTGCCCCATCTATCTCTCAATTTTTATTAGTATCATTCTGTTTGCATTATCATATATTATAACATTTGTAGTCTATCTTTAATCATACTTCCCACAGTGGTTTAACTTTACTTCTATGATTAAGTTCAATGCTCACTGCTAATTCATTTCCCACAACCTCTTTATCACAGAATTAACTTCTGGATTACTAAAACTTAAATTTTTAATTTCATTTTTCAAGAAATGTTCATGGGTGTTATAGCCCCTGAATTCTTTCAAGTCTGAAAGTCTGCTTATTGTCCTTGTACTTGAATGACTGACCACCTGTTTAGCTATACTATTCTTGGATCTCATGCTCTTTCTTAATACTCTGCAGACACTACCCCCATTCTTTTCTGACACTGAAAATTGCCATGAATAGCTGAAGCCAGACTCAGTTTTTCACACTTTTGAATGACTAGCTTTTTCTGCTGTCAATGATGTAGAGATATAGGAACACTATTACACTGATGGTGAAACTGCAACTTAGTATAACCTCTGTGGAAAATAATTTGGAGATACCTCAAAGAGCTAAAAGTAGAAATACCATTTGATCCAGCAATAGCACTACTAGGCATCTACCCAAAGGAACAAAAGACATTCTATAATAAAGACATCTGCCCTAGAATGTTTATGGCAGCACAATTCACTATTGCAAGGATGTGGAAACAACCCAAGTGCCTTTCAATCCATGAGTGGATTAATAAAATATGGTATGTGTATACTATGGAATACTACTCAATTACAAAAAACAATGATGATCTAGTACCTCTTATATTATCCTGGATAGAGCTTGAGCCCATCCTTCAAAGTGAGGTATCACAAAAATGGAAGAATAAGCACCACATGTACTCACCATCAAATTGGCACTCACTGATCAACACTAAGGTGCTCATATGGTAGTAATATTCATTGGGGGTTGGATAAACTCACAACTAATGAATGTGGTGAGCACTGTATGGAGGAAAAGCACACCTCTAATCATGGTTTGGGTAAGGCAAAGTCATAACATGTAACTAAAATGTTTGTACCCCCATAATATCCTGAAATAATAAAAAAAGAGAGAATTCTTTGTTTATCTCCATAGTACACACAAATTAACCAAGATGCATCTTGGTGTTAGTCATTCTGTTACAGTTTTTGCTGGAAT